AAAAAATGATACCTATTTTCTGGCTGAAATTTCCATGTACCGGATAGCTCCGCATCAAGAATCATATATAGCTGGATTAATATGTCTGAATATTGTGCCTGGTCGTGCAGTATGCGCGCTGGACTGTCGTTCTGTCATCTCGATGGTCCAGGGTTCATACACTGCTAACCCCGTCATTCTGCAGGTGGTTTGGACTGAGAAGAAGATTCCCTTCACTCGGATCATCCTTTTACTGTCCTTTCTCAGCTCCCATAATTCATTTTCGTGCTTCCTGTTCCCAAGCTCTTCCTCTTGAGGTACAAAGGATTATATTAGTTCTCCAGAAGATAAAATGCTGCACATTAGACACTAACTGACACTAACCCAGCGGCATTTTAGGCCTCGGAGAACTACATTTTCCCTTCGCAATTTCTCATGTTATTGAAGAGGCCAACCCTTGACACACAGCGGTTGTCACAGGTTGAGCATCTGTAATCACCAGGCGCTGTTGCACTTTCACCCTTCTTTCTTCTTCTAGTGTGTATACCATCTGCAACAAAGGACCTTTCTGTCAAGAGCGGGGGTGTGTAAGATGTGAGATTGTGTGTGTGTTTGTTTATTTTATTAGTTGGTTTGTGAATAGTTTTTATCACGGGATTTTCAAGGGGGGACAATAAGGTTTTCTAGCGGTCAGTCTAGCAGTTGGAGAGCTGACCTGGTCTGAGTGGGTGCTTGTGTTTTGTTTACCAGTTTTATGCCTAGCGTAAGGAAATGTTATAACTTATATTACTATTCATTGCTATGTGTGAGAACTGACTAATTGTGGGTAATATTATGTGTGGCATTGATAGCCTTTTGTTCAATGAATCTAGTCTAAGCGCCCTGTAGTATGTCAGTTGGGCACATTTTAGTATTTCAGTTATTGATGTTTACGCATTCAATATTATATGTGTACTTGCTGTTGGCTGTAAATAAATATTAATTTTATACTCCTCTTGAAGACGTGGTTGTCAATGATGAACTACTGTTTGACTTAATGGATCTCTATGTGTTGTGTAACGTATCATGTTGATTAGAATTATTACAAAATTATGAACAATAAAATATTAATGTTTATTTACTATATTATTTGACTAAGAAGTAGAAATTGATTGGAAAATATTCTTTTTATATTACTGTATTTTTCTTTTATAGAACCATAAAACTGCGTCAATACGTTACCCCCTCCCCTCTCCATGGGTCAAAGGTTGAGTGAATAAATACAATGACGTGTAAAAACCAAACATCTCAAAGCATCAAAGAGATGAAAGTCAAGAGTCTTGTTACGTGCACACCCAGGACCAGGTTTGATAAGGCCCTAAGCTATTTGAAATAGGGACATTTCCATTTAGACAACAATAGTAGTCAAGTTGTCGTTTGCTCTTTCTTCACGAGGATTAAAAATATCAATGTAACCTTTAGAAGGGGGCATTTAGAAAGTTTGTTTTGCCTATAAATTCACTTTGCTTTGCAGCAATGGCGTCCACCAATTTTCTATTACACTTGGCAGCCTTGAAAATATGTCATATAGTTCTAGATGACATTTTTCTCAGGGAGAATTAGTTCATTGATCCTAACCAGACTATTTGTATTCTACAACACACAGAAAAACACACACACGCACACACATGCCGCTCAACACACAATCTCAAGTTTTAAATTAATACACACACACACATGAGTTAGACTTATTGACTTGGCAATGTGCTAAAAGGATGCCACTGTCAAAAGTATCGGCTATGTTAAACCTTATTTCGTCGCCTCGGGGCAGCAACAAATCTTGTGTGTTGTGAGTTTCTGTCATATTTGCACATTTCTCTTTTCATCGAAGCCAGTTTATCTCTTCTGTTTCTCAGAGCCTTTATTTAACTTGCTATCAGAGTTGGTAGGTCGTGATCAATGAGGGATATAAGGGTCAGTGGATCATGATACTGGAGATCTGGATACTGGGGATCTGGATAGCTAGGTCATGATACTGGAGATCTGGATACTGGGGATCTGGATAGCTAGGTCATGATACTGGAGATCTGGATACTGGGGATCTGGATGGCATGATCATTGTACAATTTAGGAAACTCCTACTTAATTTCTATGTCAGATTTATGTTTTTGTGTTGGTTTTTTCATTTTGTGCTTTTGTAATATTCTTTTTTTAAATGTCAAAGGATTTTGATTCTGTATTTACTAATCCTTGATCATCCTTTCTTCTTCCTCTTTTTTATGTTTCTTAATTTTATTATTATAAGCAAACTGTCTTTCCCTTCACAGCCAGGATCAAAATTCTTTAAAGGATAAATACAATCACAAGTTCTCTCCCTTACTTAATGCACTATACGCGTGTTAACTAATACTTAAAAGTATCATCCCATTTTTTCCTTTGATTTATTACAGAAGATCTTTGCAGGTCCTGAAGATTGACAAATCCATAAAACTGCAGTCTGTGTGTGTGTGGGGGGGGGAGGAGCGAGTATTTAGGAGCCTTTTTTTTTTTTTTTAGAATTTCTGCAAAGTCCTCATTTTTTTTCTATACGCAAAATCTAAAAGCTTTCTATTCAATCTCCGGAAACTTACCTTTTCATATGACCACTACAGTTAGAGTCCAGGTCTCACAGACATTAAAGAATGAATTCATCAGTTTTCTACTTCATGCAATCAACACAACGATACAACACTTTCTTTGTTATCCATTTGAGATTGTGGAGAACTCTAAAAAACGTTTAAGTTCACATTAACAATCTGAGTCCCCACCAAGATTATTGCACACAAACTCGTGAAATTCCACCACTGGCCAGTTGCATCTATATGTGAATACATACCCACTGCTAAACATATAAAGAGTTCTGGATGAACACGATCTTGCTTACTCAATTTTGAAAGTGAATTTAAAAAAAAAAAAAAGACTACACAACGCATAGGTAATATACTAAATGGACAGACTGGCAGCTCAAATTATAACGGCTTTTTCTGACGGCACTACAAAATGTGTGCAAATTCCTTCTTACTACAATTACAAGAACTATTGTGCAGATAGTCAAATCCATGGAGATGTGACCACGCTAAACACTAGTTTGTTAACAATCAGGAAAGGCTTTATTACTTTCTGATCAACTTTTGTACAAATTGGGCCTCGTTTTGGCCTATTACTTTTCTTGTGTTCTACAACACCGAGGACATAATAAACTTTAAAAAAATCTTTACAGCTTTCTTTCCATCTCCCCACAATCAGCATGTAGGCCTACAATTCTTTCATCAACTTCCCTGCCATTCCAATGTAGTGTTGCCTGGACTTCGACATCTCTTCATTATTCCGACATGTCTGCAGCATCAAGAGACTCAACGTCTCGTTCCCTTGTGTTGTCGTCTGCTAATGACCAGCTCACAGTCACGAAACACGGGATCTTTACAACTGTCAGTGGATACATTCACAGGGCTCTTTCTTTGCAATCAACTCCAAAGATGGTTTTTTTCTTATATCTCACTACCTCTCTCTACTTTTCTCTCTTTTTTTTCTCTCTCTCCATACATCTCCCTCTTTTTGTCTCCCTACCTCTCTCTTTCTCTCTACCTCTCTCTTTCTCTCTACCTCTCTCTTTCTCTCTCCCTACCTATCTTACTATCTTTCTACCTCTCTCTTTCTCTCTCCCTAAAATTCTCTCTTTCTCTCTCCCTAAAATTCTCTCTTTCTCTCTCCCTAAAATTCTCTCTTTCTCTCTCCCTAAAATTCTCTCTTTCTCTCTCCCTAACATTCTCTCTTTCTCTCTCCCTAACATTCTCTCTTTCTCTCTCCCTACCCCTCTCTTTTAATCTCCCTACTTCTCTCTCTCTCTTTCTCTCTACCTAAAATTCTCTCTTTCTCTCTCCCTAACATTCTCTCTTTCTCTCTCCCGTCTCTCCATGTTCTTACTCTTTCTCTCCTTTTTGCTTAGTCCTTCATTTTTTCTTCCTCTTTCTCTCACTTTTCTTGAGAAAATACTTAGTTCAAATGAACCTCTATTTATGATAAATCTCGCTTTTTAGACAGTTATTTTAAAATTCGAGCTCTAATAGAAACGCTCACCACCAAAGGTTTTTGAGTCTACAAACAACTTCTTCTACCACTACAACTAAATGTACGGTCTGAACAGAAAGTATTTACATTTTAATAACAAAATCTACAATTTATTTAATTTTTATACACAACACTTATCGACATTGCGGGGTACTATTTATACTGTCTACTCCACTAACATAAGAAAGAATCTATTCTAGTGGCTAGCAAGGTCGGGGTGTCTACTGTCTACTCCACTAACATAAGAAAGAATCTATTCTAGTGGCTAGCAAGGTCGGGGTGTCTACTGTCTACTCCACTAACTTAAGAAAGAATCTATTCTAGTGGCTAGCAAGGTCGGGGTGTCTACTGTCTACTCCACTATTTTAAGAAAGAATCTATTCTAGTGGCTTGCAAGGTCGGGGTGTCTACTGTCTACTCCACTAACTTAAGAAAGAATCTATTCTAGGGTACATATAAAAAAACGTCCGAAATGACGAAGAATCAGAAGGTCATGAATATTTATTACGTACACAAACACACACACGAATATTTACATATTTATATGTGAGGGGGCCAGAAAAAAAATTCTGGCTACACCCATGTCCAGGCCTAATTCGATTATACCTCAAAGGTCATATAAGAAGAAGAGCTTCTCATTTACAGTAATGTATCTCAAAAATTTAAGTTTTATTTTCCCATTTTCAACATCAAACAAATATAATTAATTACTTATTTATTCATTAATTGGTTCAGTTTTTGACTGATTGATGTTTTGCTAGAAACAATGACTAATCGTGTCAAGTTTCAACTTGATCCGAGAATGGGAAGTGGGAGAAATAACGTGTTCGACATTGTACCAGACAGACAGACAGACAGACAGAGTGAGTTGATGGAAGCTTGGTAAAAATGAAATCAAACGAAACATGGCCAAAAAATAAAATAAATATTTATTTTTCACAAGAAAATCTACAATGAGTGGCAGGCTTATTATTTGACCTAGTTCCTCGTAATTTATAAGATAAGAAGATATGATAATCTCATCAAAATTTTAGCGTAATACACTTGACAAGAACCAAGTCTTCAAAGTCACATATGACATCAGTCTCTTTATTGACTTAAACTCATTGCTAGCAAACACATTTTTTTTAAATTTTTGATTTGGTACGAGTACTAAGCTACTGTTAGTGTCGACTAGCGCAATGCAATAAATAGATCATTGTATCCACAGACTAAAGCTTGTCCAATACAACAAAGTGAACAAATACAATTCGATCTGAAACTAAAAGCTCATCACCAAACAACAGATTTCAAAGCATGAAAACCAGTGAAAAAAATTGACCAAGACACACAAAAAATCTTTATATTTCATCATCAATATTTGAGCTTCAAACCAAAAGTTATGTGGACTTTTTGTTTCGTCCATTATTAATGGTTTTTTTTTTAATTTCCCTGTCACAAAATAAAAATATTAACAAATATCCACTGGTGTTTTGTAAAAAAAACCTGGCTAGGATTTATTTATAAATGATCATTAGCTCTCGCCAGTTCCTGTTCCCTATTGCAATATGAAGGCAACTAGTGTTTAGGCTACTCATGTTTCGTGTAATACAAAAGTACGCCATGTGCAATAATACTTCGACCAGTTGGTCAAGTGAAACAATCCTCTATGTCCTGCAGCTGTGATATCGAATGAAACATTCTGGCCTGTCCTCTGAATCCGTGTTTATCTGGGTTTTTATGGTTAGTCGAGTGACTTTGTTGTTGTTTTTTTTTGGACCATGCTAAATCATCATGCAAACCGTTGTAAGTGTCTATAAAAGTACTTGCATGTATTTACTTTTTTCAAATTAAACAAAAATTTAATTATATTTTTAAAATTCTTTTTCGTGTAAAAGATAAAAAAGATTCACAATTTCAAAATTTTGTATTTAAAGTCATTTCATTGTTAGTCTCCCCTTAACGACATTTTAAAACAAAAAGTTGTCATTATTTCATGCCCAATACACTGCTGAAATAGTAAACTAAATAAATCAACAGGTATCTATTTCGACGTCACAATGAAAAGTCATCATCTAACACAGACAAATATTTTAAAACCATCATCTAACACAGGCAATTATTTTAGTCATCATTTAACGCATACACTTATTTAAAAGTCATCATCTAACACAGACAATTATTTAAAAGTCATCATCTAACACAGACAATTATTTTAAAGTCATCATCTAACACAGACAGATATTTTTTCCAATTGTGTAAAGTTAAATGTGTCACACGTGTGTTGAACATGTAGTTGATTGATTTCAAGTTAAAACAAATATTTGTTGACAATAAATTCTCAATGGAGGTTGTAATAAATCCGATATTTGTACATTGTAAATTTCTGTAGACTGAGAGGCACCTTCATGTCAGTCCAATGTGTCTACAAATTGCACAATCACTTGCAGCGAAAGAGAATGTCAGGAGTGATAATAGTTTTCAAAGTGCATTTAGTTACGCACGCGGTCAATGGGGATTAGCTTTGTCTAACGAACAGTGGACATTTATTGATTCTCTGCTTTATTGAACAAGTGTTTTAGAGGGGGATATGCCTTCATATTAACAAGTTCTAGCGTCTGAGTTTTGTGTTTCAAGGGAGCGAATAAAGCAAACTGTTTTCTAGCATTAGGTCATGGGAAGTAACTCAGCTAGTTATTGATTTCTAAATGGAGATTCAAACATAGTCGGAAATGGTCTCAATGGGTTTGGATTGCGACTAAGCTTGTCAATATTTTGTGGTTAAGTTTTAAGATTTTAATTCACACAGAAGGAGAGTCTTGTCAAACTGAGTGTAATGGAATCAAATAGAGTTATAGCCACAAAATTAGTTCCATTGTTAATATCACACAGAGAACCAATTGTTACATTAAGACACTTTTTATACACGTAGCAGCTTACTGTAAATGTGCAATATGTAAACCAGTAACTTAGTGGAATGTAGCCAAATATTTTTAAAAAAATGTAGCCAGATACTTCCCAAAATCTGGCCAGAAAGTTCAAAGGAATGTAGTCAGAAATGTATATGCTGGTTGACTTTTGGTTATATCTCAAGAACATGTTTGACCAAGTGTCTGTAAAGCTTAGGAAGAGGGAACAGGATCAATTGAGGAAGTGCTACTAACATAACTATTGATATAAAAACAAAAAATAAAAGTTAGTAACTCGAAAGTTTGAAATTTTTGAAAACCTTGAGCAACGTTCGACTGCTCAACAAACTTTGGAGGCTTCTAATATCAAGTAACTAACTTATAAAGGCTCTAATTTCAAGATAACTCCAGATTGCTCTAATGTCAAGACAACTCCAGAGTGCTCTAATGTCAAGACAACTTCCGAATGCTCTAATGTCAAGACAACTTCCGAGTGCTCTAATGTCAAGACAAGTTTTAAGTGCTCTAATATCAAGACAACTTCCGAGTGCTCTAATATCAAAACAACTTCCAAGTGCTCTAATGTCAAGACAACTTCCGAGTGCTCTAATGTCAAGTGTAAACTGTCGTACGTCCAGTAAACGTGAAATGCGAATATTGTGAGATGTTGCATTTTGAAATACAAAAACAAAGACAGCTTGCATGCGTGTACCAGAATGGAAGTCAGATCTATTGAATATTTGAACTCTTGCTCTGAGGACAACTACGCCAACAGATCGATCGAGAACTCTAAGCCCACCAGATCTTGGAAAGAGTTTTTTTGTTTGTTTCATTGAACAGTGACAACAGAGCAACGAAGTAGTTCCTTCCCTTTGAAAGCTAGATATTCAAAAGTTTTGGTTGATACTTTATGCACACTTACAATGCTTTTAACATTGTCAATTATTGTCTTCTCAAATTTTAAGAATATTCAATTTTAAACAGCGTGCGTGTTGTTTTTGCTATAGAATGAATAGACCACATAATGAAAGGGAGACAATGTCTGTATGTACATAACATATTTGTGTTATTACCAACGATGGGGGAGGAAATCGCTTTAACCTAGATAACAGCTTTGTGTAAATCCCCACCAATGGGGGAGACAATGTATTATCATTGCATGACGCCTACGTTATTTATACACCTGGTCACCTTTATGCAACAGAGTTAGAAATAGGGAGAATCGATATTGAATATAGTTTCATGTAATCATTCCATAATATAGTCAAAATCGATACCAGCTGTACCGAACATGCGGTCAATTATCATATGTATTCATAATTCTGTTATTTTTAGTAGATCCAATCATAAACCGGACAATAAAAGTTACAAATAAAGGAATAAATAAATGACACAATATAAATAAATTAGAAGTCCATAATAAAGACACAAATGTTATATTAATAGGAAAAATACCAGTCCAACAAGAGACAAAGAAAGCAAAGAATTATTACATAATGCGAAGACAATATAACACTATGTACACATATATTGGTCAAAGATAAAATTTTTGTAATATATTATGGATGCATTCATGAAGGTATTGCATGAGCGTGTAGATTGTAAATAAAAGAAATATTGGCTACATTGATTATGTACATAATTTACAGACAAGATGTTGTCATCGGAGTTATAGTAAATTAAATTGATCTTAACTTGCATTGTAGATGTCCCAACAGATTTGTTAAATATTCTAGTATATATTATTATTGATGGCTAGACATGTTATATCACATTCGTATAATCAGACTATCATGCTCTTTAAAACAATAATCGTACTACAGATGGCAGAGTCTAGAAGCTCGTGCCAACTATGACCCTTGACCTTTCAATTTCAATATTTAAATGCACAATGTTACTTAGGTCAAAGATCTTTGTACACTATCTATACACACGGATAAACGTATTAAACAATTCTTTCTACAAGACATTTCAATTATTCGTTACAAATCACACAACTGTTCTTCCAAAGTAATTCCTCGCAGATGTATAATGTCAACTACAGGGCCATGACTGAGCCATGACATTGTTTTACCTTACATTTAGTTGGCTCCAAGACAGTGTCTTAATATATAAATATTAAGACACTCAATGGTCTTCCTGACACCCAGCTATTTTCACATAAACTTGCTATCTACGGCATTAGCACCACATATTATTTTTAAGCCTTCACTTTGGACATTATAACTGAGGCATGAACTATTATTTTTAGATCGACTGAGCCATTGTATTGTCATAGCATATTACTATATAGCCATATCATATTAAAACTGATCCATGGTATTGATTTCACATAATAAGCCTGGCATCCATGTCACAGCCTTTATATATTTAAAAGAGTTTAATAAATTAAAAGTGATCCATAATAAGTATCTTTCATAAAGCAATGGCTAAGGGAGACAATTGAGTAATGAGCAGAGTTATCTTCACATTTAAATGTATTACGCTAAAATGCTCCCATTCTACCAATCTGTTGTTCAAGTTAATGACTCTAATGGTAAAACGACTACAATTTATGCGTATCTAAAACAATTTATTCTGCATGTCATCTCATAGAGTCACTCCAGACCATCATATCACATAGAGATAGAGTGAGACACACCTCCTGCCATCACATTACATAGACATAGGATCAAGACACACAACAGTCGAGACACACATCAGATCTCATAGACACAATACTAACACGTTACATGAGGTTAGAGCGCAGCCACGTAAAGCTATCTACTAAAAGTGAGCGAGAGAGAAAGCCACAGCTACCATATTACATAACCACACCACGTGCTACCATATTACATAACCACACCAAGTGTTCAGGTCACAAAACCACAGACATTCATTACATCACACAGAGGAAGAGTACAGCCACACTAGGCCATTACATCACAATATCAAACATGGCTATCACATCACATAACCACACAAGGCCATCACATTACAATACCAAACATGGCTATCACATTACATAACCCCACAAGGCCATCACATCACAATATCAAACATGGCTATCACATCACATAATAACACAAGGCCATCACATCACAATACCAAACATGGCTATCACATTACATAACTCCACAAGGCCATCACATCACAATATCAAACATGGCTATCACATCACATAACTCCACAAGGCCATCACATCACAATATCAAACATGGCTATCACATCACATAACTCCACAAGGCCATCACATCACAATATCAAACATGGCTATCACATTACATAACCATACAAGACCATCACATCACAATACCACACCAGGCAAAAACATCTCAATGACATAAATACAAAAGATTTACTTAATTAAAAGAATTTTTTTTGAATACTTCCTGAGAAACCAGGCACACAAGAAAAAAAAGTAGGCTCTGTGTAAATATATATATATATATATATATACCTTACAACACAAAAATCAATCCGAATTTCCCACTAACTTTAGCTATTTGTTGTCTCCAAACTCTAGTGGATACAAATAGAAAACTATAGGCCTATAATCGATACTCTTATTTCCATTTCTCAATATAACCAAATAAATATCTGTTCTAGACAAGTCTGGGCTGTTATAATTTGCATATTGAAAGACAGAATAAAGAAAACAAAAGGGGGAGAAAGATAGGGGAAGACAATAGGTAAAAAGGGTTTGCAATAATACAAGAGTTAACACGCTTTGGAAGAGCTGACATATTGGCGAATGACAATGAATGTTAAAAGACGATAAAATAAGGCGTCACGAGAAAACATATTTAGAAATGATCAACAGAAATGAAATAGGCATACAAAAATAAACAATTTCTGACGATCACCATGGGAACAGTGCTCCAGGAATGTTCGCTTAAGGCAGCCGCAAGCCAGATCTTAATGACTGATTTATTGATTGAATGATTGGGATGAAGATTGGTTATTCTAGTTAATGACTAAAGTTTTATTGAGTTGAGGATTTCTACTTGAGTCAATCCAATGTTTGATATCACGTTTTGATGGCTTTTAAAAGGAAATGAACATAAATGCTGAACGACTTCGTATTTTCAACTGGCTACAGATGAATCACGCATCTTTTATATTGTGTTAACAGGCCGGATTTACGTAGATAGAGGCACAGTGTGCAGGATTTTGCCACTTTTTTTTAAGGACAGGGTAACGATGCATTTAAGTACATGTACACTCGTTATATATATATATATATATAGGTCTATATTTTCAGAAGAACCACTTTAAGGACAGGGTAACGATGCATTGAAATACATGTACACTCGTTATATATATATATAGGTCTATATTTTCAGAAGAC